GATGATGGGCTCGAGTATAGCAGGGATTGTGGGGCTGGTGCGGGATCGGGCAGTGTTTCGTTCTGCTGTGCATGGGGTCGCTATGAGTCGGAAACGACTTGACGGCACTTAACAACATAACAACAACAGAGAGAACCAAATGTACATCCATAGGCAAATGGATAAATTAGCTGTGGTATATTCATGTAATGGAATACCACTCAGCAATAAAAGGGAATAAATTGCTGATGTAAGTTGGGGGTGGCCTGAAAAATGGCCCCCCAAGACGTCCTCATCTTAATCACCAGAATCTGCAACTGTTACATAGCAAAAGGGAGCCTGCAGATGTGATTAAGTTAAGGATCTTTGAGACAGATTAGCCAGTGGGCCTTCAATGTAATCACAAGTGGCCTTACAATAGGTAAGCAGAGGGAGATCTGACTACAGAAAAGAGAATGGCAATGTGACAACGGAGCAGTGAGTCATGTGAGTAATGCAGCCACAAGCCACAGAACGCCAGCCGCCTTCGAAGCTGGAAAAGCAAGAAATGCATTCTGCCGGAGCCTCCAGAAGGCAGGCCTTGACGTTAGCTCTGTAAAACTCACTTCCCGCTTCCCACCTCCCGAGATGTCAGAGTAAACTTAAGTTGTTTTCAACCACTCAATCTATGAGAATTCATTACTGCAGCAACAGAAAACCTAATACAACAAGCAACAAGATGTTGCTATAACAGCATATAACAGAGCCTATAAAACATTATACTAAATAAAAGCAGCTTTAGACAAAACAGTACATACTGTAAAACGGCATTTATATGGAATTCTAGAACAGATACAACTAATATGTAGTAGAAAACTGAAAAGACAGTAACTGCCTCAGTGGCAGGAGACTGGAGAGAGCATGAGGGACCTTTCTGAGGAGATGGTATGTTCTGCATCTCGACAGGGGTTTGGGTAAGAAAGGTTTATCTATTAAAACCCATCACATGACAGTTAAGATTTATGTATTTTATTATATAAATCTTATCTCAATAAATAAAGAACCATAAGTAAATATTAAACTCTAGTTCCTGATATATGCTTAAAGTGCTTATGGATGAAGTATACGACACCTGTAACTTATTCTGAAATGAAATTAAAAATAAGATGCATTGATGGGTAGACAGAGATAGAAATGTGATAAAGCAAAAACAGCAAAATGGTAATTGCAGAATCTAGTAGGTAGGTATAGGGTGTTCATCGTTAATTTTTTTCAACCTTTTTGTATGTTTGAAATTTTTTGTAATAAAAAGTTTTGAGGGTGGGGGTGGGAGGAGTGGAGAAACACTCACCTTTTTTTTCTTCCTGTGTCCAAAAACGAGCATCGGCATATACAAATTTATTATACCTTTGGCGAACTGCCTCCTGGTATGTCTTTTTAAAAAAAAAAAAGTTTATGGAGAAAATGAGTTTCAATACAAACCAGAATTAGTAAGGATGTAAGAGGTTAGTGGATTCTTTTAATGCAGACACGTTTCTTCTCCTAGTAATGATGCAGACACAGGCATCTGCCAGGCTAGGAAGTGATTAGTTCATGAGATGACGTTTAAAATAAAATGAAGCAATTAATGCAGCTATAATCTAGACCAGCACCGTGGACCAGAACTGTCTGCAATGACAGAAATATTCTGGATTTTCCCTGTCCAGGACGTTGTTGTTGTTGTTAGTGGCTGTCAAGCCAGCTCCAACTCCAAGTACAACATAAAAAAAGGCTGCTTGGTCCTGCACCACCCTCACGAGCGCTGGCATGTTGTGGGTCCATTGTTGCAGCCACTGTGCAGTGCCTTCCAATCTAACGAGTTCATTTTCCAGCACTATATTGGACAGTATTTTGACCCACAGGCCTTACACTGGCTAATTCTCAAAGTAGATCACCAGGCCTTTCTTCCTAGTCTATTGTAGTCTGGAAGCTCCACGGAAACTTGTCCACCACGGATGACCCTTCTGGTGTTTGAAATACCAGTGGCACTGCCTCCAGCACCATAGGAACATGCAACCCACCAGAGTACAACAAACTGACAGATGGGTGGTAATAATAATTACAAATATAGTAGCAACCAACTACCAACCACTAGAAACGGAGATAGTGTGACTGTGGTTTTTAACTTTTACTTTTAATTAACTTTTATTTATAGACCCAGATCACTAGTGGTTGCCACTGTGGGACAATACAGGTCTAAACAGTTATCCCCAAGAAAGGGCAATCAGTTACAACACTAGGACAAACTGCACATCTTTAAATTTTCCAAACACAACCAACAATTGTCTTATATTTCTAATTAGCAGCAAGGCTGAAATGCACTTCAATCATGGTGTAGTTTAACAGAAAATGCTGAATTGGGAGTCTAGAGACTGGAATTCTCAACCTTACTCTGCCAGGAATTTTCTCAGGATCACCTACTCCCTTACTGTGCCTCAATTTCCTGCTTTGAACAAGCTAGGGGTTAGACTGGATGATATCTGAAGTCTAAAATTCAATGGAAACAGCATTCTAAAAATAATAGCATATAATATGAAAGAAGGTAAAATTCTCTGTGACTTAAAAAAATTGTACTCTCACAGGGTAGAAGAGGCAACTGAATGGTACTGACAAGCTGACTGATGAAACAGTCATGATCCTTTTTGTGGCACCTAGACTTGGACCAGTGTTTTTTAGATTACGTATCAATGCTAACAGGAGCTCTGGTAGCGTAGTGCCTAAGGCACTTGACTGCTAACCAGAAGGCTGGCGGTTCAAACCCATCAGCCACTCCTCGGAAGGAAGATGAGGCAATCTACTTCCGTAGTGTTACTGCCTTGGAAACCCAAGGAGGGGTCACTATGAGTCGGGTCTGACTCCAGGGCACATAACAACAACAACAAATCAATGCCAACAGGGGGGTAATAATAATTACCATTTACTAAGTTGTGTGTCGGGTAGTGTGCTGAATAATTTATACCTCATTTTCTTCTTAAAAATAGTGATTTTACCAAGGTCAGGCACTTAACTGGCAATGGAGCTGGGCTTTAAAGGCAGGTCTGCGCGACTCTGGGGCACTGACCTACACAAGTGTAAGAAGAAGCCATATTCAGCAGAGGCCAGCCCCCAGCACACACCAGGGATGCAGCCCCAGACCTTACTTCAATTTCTTCCATTCGGAGCATCATGGTCTCCAGAGTTGGAGTGTCCTTGCTGTCCTTCAAGATCTTAGAGTGAGTCACAGCCCAGAGCTTATGAGTGGCATCTTCCAAAAACTCATCCACCAGATGAACGTTGCTGGATTCGGAACCAACAGCTGTACTCTACAAAACAAGGGAGGGGGATGGTAAAAAGACAACAGAAGAAGTTAAAGATTACTGCTGATCATCATAAACCAACCACATAGTGACCCAACTGGCAAAACTTCTGTGCTAAAACAAACCTCTCCTAAATCAGTAAATATCAAAAGCAGTACAAAAACCAAAACACCAAACTCACTGCCTTCAAGTCAGATCCAAATCACAGTGACTCCTCCTTGGGTTTCCAAGGTGGTATCACTACAGAAGTAGATTGCCCAATCTTTGTTCTGAGAAGTGGCTGATGGGTTTGAACCACCAGACTTCTGGTTAGCAGTGAAGTACCTTAGGCACTATGCTACCTAAAAGCTGTATCATCAGTACAATTTCTACCAAAGTCATTTAAACAGTAAACATTACCCAAGCCATACCATTTCCTGTTACGTAGTCTTAAACATCAACCAAGAAACAGTTTCTTCAGTGCAAAATGAGGATACCAGTAATACTAGCTGCTCTGAGAATCAAATGATTCAACATATGTGAAAAACATATGTGTCTACTGTTATCATTATTACATGTTTTGCCAGTTGGTAAAGAAAATGTCTTCCTTTTGCTGTAAAACCCAAAAAACTCAAACCCACTGCCACTGAATCAATTCTGACTTACAGAGACCCTACACAGGGTCACTGTAAGTCAAGTGGTGTAGTGCTTAAGGCACTTGACTGCTAACGAGAAGGCTGGCAGTTCAAACCCACCAGCCACTCCTTGGAAGGCAGACTGGGCAATCTAATTCCATAAAGATACTGCCTTGGAAACCCAAGGAGGGGTTGCTATGAGTTGGGATTAACTTGAAAGCAGTGAGTTTGTTTTTATGTTATAGGACAACGTAGAAGTGCCCCATAGGATTCCCAAAGCTACAAATCTTTATGGAACAGATTGCCTCATCTTTCTTCTGTGGAGCAGCTGGTGGGTTCAAACTACCAACTTTTTGGTTAGCAGCCAAATCTCTAACCACTACACCACCAGAGCTCCCATCTTTTGTTATACTCAGGAATGTCTGATATTTTACATGCCATATACTCCAGATACACCATGTGTGTGTGTATTTTCTTCTGATTCAAAGCTTTTGTCAAAACTTCTGTTCATGACATTACCGAAGCATTACCCTTGCCTGAGACTTTCTGCGTATAACCTGGGAAAGCCTTCCGTCCATTTCTACCATGTAAAGGAATGTGTCCCTTACATTCACAAAGCACCTTACGGTTTGCAAAGCATTTTTACATTCATGGATTTTCCTTTAATTCTGATACATGTCTTAATCTGCTCTGAATGAAGCTTTTGCAAAGAATATCTGTTGGAGAAAATGATTGTAAGGCTCTGGAATGAGACATTTATGGGATTAAATCTTGGTTCTGCCACTGAACATCTTGCCACTTTGGGCAAGTTTACTTTACCTTCCTGGGCCTCAATGTCCTCATCTGTAACATGGAAATAATAATTTTGTATTTTAGAGTTGCAAGGATTACACAGGAGATTACATTACTTAGCATAGTGTTGGGGATGAAATAAGAAACTCAACGAATGGTTACTACTACAGCTATTTAAAAAAATCTTTTAACAGTTCACAGAAATACAAATAAAGTTAACAAGAAATGGTCAGCCTGAATCAAAGTTAAAGAAATCAAAACCAGTTCAATACCAATAAAATAAAATGACGTAAAAAAAAAAAAAATCTAAAAACAACTAAGCTAATAATACAGATCTAGTTAATGAAGGGAGGTTGTGTTTTTGTGTGTATAATATTTTCCATTTATACTGAACGAATTCCAAGAATTCTATGTACTATGAAACAAGAGTAAGGTCTAATGTGCTAACAGGAGTCGCTGGGTGGCACAGACAGTTAAATGCTCAACTACGAGCCAAAAAGTTGGTGGTTCAAACTCACCCACGGGTGCCTTGGAAGACAGGCCTACTGATCTGCTTCTGAAAGACCACAGCCTTGAAAGCCCTATGGAGCAGTTGTACTCTGCACACATGGGGTTGTCATGAGTCACAAATGATTCAACAGCGACTAATGACAACAACAACGTGCTAATACAGAAAGATCACCAAAATACATTGCAAAGAAAAAAGCAGGGTACAGAATGGCGGATGGTATCCATTTGGCAGGAAGTGGAACTTTTCATATTATACTTTTTCTGAATTTTTTTGGCCTTGTGCATATATAACTTTCAATTTTAAGAAACTCATACATTTTGGAAAACGTATTTCATGTGCAGGTTTACTTAATGTCAACAACAGCAGCAACAGAAAAACATGTTATAATGGTACTCATGAAAGAGCTCTTTCCTGAATTCAGAAATTACTTGTCTGTCAAAGGTATTGAGAGTTGTATTTTACTTGTAAAGTGCAGGAAACATCTTCTCCATTTTACAGATGAGAAATCTGAGAGTTTGTGTTCTAGGTCCCACAGCTCTTTTAAGTTACCATAGTTAAAAAATATATACATAGCTACTTCACTTTCATGAGAAGCCAACTTCTGTGAGGTTTTTTTTTTTTTTTTTTTTACATATTCCGTTGTCTATAAACATCGACAGGAGCTCTAGTAGCACAGTGGCTAAGGCATTTGACTGCTAACCAGAAGGCTGGTGGTTCAAACCCAACAGCCACTCCTCGGAAGGAAGATAGGGCAACCTACTTTCATAGTGATACTGCCTCGGAAACCCAAGAGGGGTCACTATGAGTCGGGTACATAACAACAACAACATAAACATTGACTTCTTTTTTAACATTGTTTTGTGGTTTGGGTAAAAGTTAATAGAGCAAATTAGTTTCCAATTAAGCAACTTATATGCACAGATTGTTCTGTGACCTTGGTTGTATGTGTATAGGTCAGTACTGTCCCCATGTCTACTTTGGCTTTGTTTCCATTTGTCCAGTATTCCTGTCCCTTCATTCCTACCCTCTTAACTTTTCTTTTGGGCCAATGCTGCCCTTTTGGTCTTGTGTAGTTGAGTGTTCTGAGAAGCATATCCCTCCCAGGTGATACTATTCACCTTAGAGGTCTTTTAATGGTGATCTCCAGGAGTGGCTTCAGTCCTTAAGTTAGAAGGGTATCTAAGGGCCACAGTCTCAGGGGTTACCGGTCTCTATCAGACCAGTAAGTCTGGTCTTTTCTATGCATTTACATTTTGTGCTATATCCTTGTCTCTGTGATCCTGTCATCCTGCATTTTGTGCTACATCCTTCTCTCTGTGTTCCTGCCATCCTACATTTTGTGCTACATCCTTCCACTGTGATCCTGGTCACAGCAGTCAGTGCCGGAAGCTGGGCACCATTTAGTTCCTCTGGTCTCGTGCTTGTGGAGGCTGTGGTTCAGGAGGTTCTCAGTCCTCGGGACTCCCTGTTTCCTTGAGTCTTTTTTCACTTTTCCTTGTTCCGCGTGGAAAGAGACTGATAGTTGTAACTTAGATGGCTAATCGCAAGCTTTTAAAACCCCAATTGCTACTCACCAAAGTAGGATGCAGGACACTGTCTTTATGGACCATGTTAAGCCAACTGACCTAGATGTACACAGTGACTTTTGATGGTGGTGCCTGGGAAACCGTTTGCAATGACACCCACATTATAGCAGAAGCCCAGAATTCTAAATGTTTGTCAGTTACTTTAAATTACATTAAAGACTATTTAATGTCTACACAATAATTCTTATATAAAAAGCTCATCATTCCTAGTAATAGTCAAAAACATCTACTTCACTAACAGCATTTATAATCACATCATTTTTCTTTAATATTAAAATGCAATATGGAATTGCCTCCTAAGATTAGATGTTGGTCTGATTATTTTGCTGGAGGTAAAAGTATCCCTTTGTGTGCCACGCTGACAGAATGCTAAGCCCCAGCATTCAAATCTGTAGGGGCCAAATGCAGGCTGTCAGCTTCCCAGGCTTAGGAGCCTCACCTCACCTGGGATTTTGTCACAAATACTGGTAGAATAAAATTGCAAAGATTATAAAAATATGGTGCAGCTAAAGTACTGCTTAATAATTAGAATTAAGATAAAGTCTTAAAGTCTAGTTTATTCCTATTCTGAGGTCATCGGGCTGGTGGGGTTTCATTTCAACCTCCTTCTGACTTTGAAATCTTTGCACTTGCTCCGTCCTAAGACTTCGGAGCAAGGAAAGCAATTGACTTCTTTCTAACCTCAAAAGATCAAATGGCAGCAATGCGCATTCTCTACCAGCCCCAGCCCTAATTAAGCCTAGGCAGGGTAGGAACCTTCCCACAAATACCAAACACAAATCCCCCAGAGGCAGAGCACAAGGACAGATACAAACAATGTTATGTTTTTATTTGTCTCAAATGTTTCCATTTCTCCTCTTTTCTCTGCTAGGTCAAATACCGGTTACATATTAGGCAACAGAACATGCGTGCCTAACAAGAAACATTGTGCCCTAAGTATGACGGAAATTAGGTCAGTAATGAATGAAACTAGGCTGAACAAAAGGAAATGAGGGCTGCCATTTCTGTGCTGTTGGCCATCAATATGCAGGGCCACTCGGTGCACCCACATCCACATTGTGTCATCATTTGAGAGAATAGCAGCTGCCGACAGAACCCATGGCTTCTGTGAGCTGTTTGCCAGGCTGATCAAAGTCATACCACTGACTGTACACTGTAAGAATGCCAAATATGAAAAATAATTTCCACCCTTCTTGAGTAGGATAATTCAGTGTTTACAAAGTAATCTGCATATAATTCTCCTTACGACCGAAGACATGAGCATGCAATAATACCAGTGTCAGTTCAGAGTATCAACACCACACAACACACACCTCCTCTGCGGGCTGCGCTGCTGCTGTGTTTACTGACGGATGATTGTTCAAATGAGTATTTGCGTCCAGAGAAGAATTGACTCTCTGTTAAGACAGACAAATGCGTTAATGGGTTATAAAAACTCAGAATTCCTTTGAGTACAAATTAATTCAGTCACCAGAATAACTTCAGTGTGGAATTGTTTGTCAACATTAGCTACATTAGGCTTTTTGCAGCAAATCAAAGCACTTTGTCTTCATGAAAATAAATGTCATGTGTTGATCTTGGCTTTCTGCCCTTTTTTTTCCTCTCAACTTTATAAATACTGTCAAAATAGCTTACATTTTTGCCCAAGGCACTCAACTTCTCTGCTCCTGTTTCCTCATCAATAAAATGAGGACGTTGTCTTAGTCAATCTCTACAATCCCTCAGGTTTCCATGGACTCAAATGATAACTGAACAGCTTTTAAACTAGAAATACAGAAGTTCAGTGGCCTGTTCAGGGACCCAGAACTTCATTGTTTCCATTTAAGATTACAGTATTCTTCTGAGGCCCCCATGTATTTCACAAAGACTGTCTCTATTTATAGGGTGACTGGCAGGATCTAGCCATAGAATTCAGCTTCCTGCTTACAAGAGGATGACACACTCTGTTGGAGATGCCATGTGTAATTCTGTCTTCAAAGAACCTGCCCTAACATCTCTGTCTTTTGGAAAAATGGAGCCAATCATTCCAAACCATTGAGGTGAAACAGTGTAACATCTGAATGGAAGCAGTTAATCGAATACTAACATCACCAATAGATCTATGTGATTAGAAATAGCAACTGTAATCTAAACTCTTTGCCCAAACTAAAACCTCACCTTTCTCAACAATGGGATTCTCTTCCCTCTCCATACCTCTCCCTTACCCATAATGGAGAATACACCAACAGTGTGTGGTTGTTTGGGAGGGTGTTCAAAAGGGGCCCCACCAGTACTCTACCCACAGCTAGTAACCCAAAGGTTGCCTGTTCAAACTCACCCAGTAGCACCATGGAAGATCCACACCTGGTGAGTGGCTTCTATAAAGATTACAGCCAACCTGACTCCGGAGCCTACAGAGTCTCTCCAGACGAATACATAAACAAACAAATGTCTCAATCTACTCTGTACCCTTGGTTAACACTGCAGCCTCTAGACACTTAAACCTATAAAGGAGCAGGGTAATTTCTGTACAATTCTTTTTGGTTCTAAAACTCCCAGAAGGCAAGCAAATGATGTGAACTAGATTACCTGGGCCTTGGCCAGGAGAGGCTTCAGACGCTGCAGTACTGCCTGCTCTACCTTGTCTGCTAGCTGGGTGGCAGAAACACTATTGAGAAAGAAAATGGAAAATTAAAACCAAAAGCAAGAAAATCTGCTATGTTGCCTATTTATTTACTACTCCAGGTGAGGGGAATCACATGATTATAAACACGATAGTGCTTTTCCAACTCTAATGATGACACCAATCATGTGGGAACCCTGCTGAAAATGCAGACTCTGGCTCAGATGGTCCGGGTGAGGGCTTAGATTCTGCACGTCCAATATACTCCCAGGTGATGCAAAACGAGTTCCAGTGCTTAGATAAACCTAGGGAAGTATGTTTGGTTTGGAATACACTCTAAGACAATAATGGATGCCTTTAGATAACTGAAGAGAGGACCTCTGGGTTAGAGGGGCAGACTGAACAAATGAAACTAATTTTGCTGTCTCCCAAAACTCCACTAAAACAGTATTAGAAATTTTGTTTCTTAGACACAAATCCATTAGGACATGGAGGGAAAAAAAGATGCTGAAAAGCAGAAGGGTAACAGTGACATCTCAGAGAGCTGAACTCCAGGCCAGTAGTTAGAAAAACTACAGATAGCCACGAGTCAGAACAGACTCAACGGCATACAACAGCAACAACAATAAGAAAAACTAACAACCAGCACAGTGTATACTGCTGACCTACAGAGGCCCAGGACTGGCAGTACTAGGTATTTCTAGAACTGAGTGTACGCTGGGAAGGGGGTGGTGTTTAAACGTGGAAGACGAGAGTCAAACGATGTTTGAGATAACAGGTTCCCAGACCCTTCTCCCTACTTCATACAATTAAGGCAATCTGAGAGAGTTTGGCTGCTTATTCTCTGGAAAGGGCAAAACAGAGGGCCTCTTGCTTAGGGGCACAAGTTACAGCTGAGGCTGTAGGTATGGACCAAGAAGAAGGACTCATATGCGCACACTGAATGCTGACCGGCACCAGTTCTCCTCCCCAACGCAGTCCCTAGTTGGCATCCAGGTTCCTACCCTACAGGCGGGAGACTAAAGACTCTTCTTTGGGAAGTCTGACCAGCCCCAAAGGAAAGACCTAAAGACCAACATTAGGGTCCTTAATAAACAGTCTACCCAGATCTCCTCACACTAAAGCTCAATTTTAATAATCCTTTCACCAGATAAAGGAGCTCTGGTGGTGCTGTGGTTAAAGCACTGTGCTGCTAACCAAAAGGTCAGCAGTCGGAACCCACCAGCCGCTTGATGGGAGAAAGATGTGGCAATATGCTTCTGTAAAGACTGACTGCCTTGGAAACCCAATGGGGCAGTTCTGCTCTATTATAAAATGTTGCCATGAGTCAGAATCAACTTGATGGCAACGAGCTTGTTTTTTCTGGTTTTTCATCAGATGGTACTGAAATAACCAGCTCTCCATAAGAAAAAAAATGAAGCTTGACCAATCTATCTCATCTCATATGCAAAAAGTAATTCAAGATGCATCATAGACCTAAAAATAAAAGCTAAAACTATAAGATATTTGGAAGAATACAAGACAGAATATCTTTGCAATCTCAGCATAGGTAACAATTTCTTAGTTCACACACACACACACAGAAACTCAAATGTAAAAGAAAAAACTGATAAACTGGTTTCAATCAAAATTTAAAACTTCTAGTTATCAAAAGTACCCCATTAAGAAGACATACAGGCAAGTCATAATACTAAGCAAAAATATTTCTTGTACATATAACAGACAAGGAACTCATTTTCAGAAAATACAGAACTCTTACAAGTCAGTAATACAAAAAACAAAATAGCCCAATAAAAAATGGGCAAAATACTGGAACAGACATTTCATAAGAAGCCCTAGTAAAGGTGCTCACTTCACTAGTCTTCAAGGAAATGCAAATTAAAACCACAATGAAATACCATAACACCTTCACCAGAATGGCTAAAATTGCAAAGGCTGACAAGACCAAATGTTAGCAAGGACACTGAACAACTAGAAAGGAACTCCCCTGCACCGATAATGGGAGTATGAAATGGTCCAACTACTTTGGCAAACTTGTATGGCAGGTTTCACGAAGTTAAACATCTACTTAACCTGTAACCCAGAAAGTCTACTCCTCGGTATTTACCCAAGAGAAATGAAAGCGTATTTCTACAAAAAGACCTGTGCAAGAATTTCGTAGCAGTTTTACTCATACTAACTGAAAACTCGAAACAACCCGAATGTTCACCCACAGGAGAATGGATAAACAGCGTGGGCTATTCATATAATGGAATTACTCGGTAATAAAATAGAATGAACTGTTTTGATATATGCACAGCACAGAAGAATCTCATACTTTGTTGGCAAAAGTCAGACACAATGAAATAGGTACTGATGATTCTATTTATATGATGTCTAACAACAGGCAAAACTACTCTATGGTGACAGAAATCCGAAAGGGGCTGCATAAAAGCTGGATGGAGAAAGCTTAGAATGTTACAGAGCAGCCCACTCCCCCTGACCCAAATTCCTTCCAGAAGTCCAGTGACCCTAGTTTGTTTACAACCCCTCTGTTGTTGTTGTTGTTGTTAAGAGGCTGCTGAGTCAGTTCTGACTCCTAACAACCTTTTTTGACAGAGCAGAACTGCCCCACATGGTTTCCTAGGTTGTAATCTTTATGGGAGCAAATCACAAGGTCTTTTCTCTTGTGGAGCCACTGGGGGTTTGGACGGCCAACCTTCTGGTTAGCACCTGAGTGCTTAACCTCTCCACTACCGGGGCTCCTTACAGTTACCGTTGTTGTTGCTACATGCCGCCGAGTCGGACCCGAGTCACGGCGACCCCTCCTTGGGCTTCCGAGGCAGTAACACTACGGAAGTAGATTGCCCAACCTTCCTTCCGAGGAGTGGCTGGTAGGTTTCAACCGTCAGCCTTCTGGTTAGCAGTCAAGTGCCTTAGGCACTATGCTACCAGAGCTCCTTGCTGCTCTAGAAGCCCCAGATGCAGTCAGCCTAACATTTCTACAGACTCAATCATGACCTTGCCCATCAACTTCTTGGGAAGGGGCTGCCAAAAACTCTCAGGGAGTTCAAGTCAGCTTATGATAGAGACTCTGGTTCAGCCTATTTCCCCCAGGAGTCTTCAACTAATACCAGCAATACTACCCTTTCTTTGTATAGCTAGGTTCAAGCTTGCTTCTCAGTGTTCAAAATTAATCAATATATTGTTAGGGAAAAATACATAGGTGGCAGATCTATGAAGAAGGGCAATGAAAAGATTACACAGGAATCAGGACAGTGGTTGCCTCTGGCGTGCAAGTGGAAAAGAGCTGCAATGGGGTAGGGTCACAAAGGGAGCTTCTAAAGTACAGTTTATAACCAATTTCTTAACTTGGTATGATGGTTTTCATTTTGATATTTTGAACAGTGCACCTACATTTAGTATTCTTTTCTAAAGTATGATATACTTAATTACTGAAATAAAAAAATAAAGGGATAAATGGAGTACAAAGGATCAAGTTTTGGCCCTAAGGACAAGTGGATAGGAGTCACCAGGAATCAAATTTCAGCACAAGTGAAAGGACACATCTAATAACTGGAGGTGACCACAGAATGGGCTGCTGCAGAAGGTGGTGGCCATCCTATCACTGGGGTGTGCATGAACATGATGCATACTTTGGGGGAGAGAGTTCAGAGGGGCTGGGAGCATCATACGGGGGAAAAGATCCTTCTACTACTAAGATTCTGTGATTGTTAGGACTCAAAATCTTAACTAAAGACCAAACACCTTGGCATTCTAATGACAGATCCATAGCCCTTCTAACCTGGCCTGAACAGTATGTCGTAATTGTTGACAGACACACATCTATTCCAGCAAGTGCTGTTCATTTAACTTCAGAGTACATTATATAAGAGCTGAAAAAATAAGCCAATTTCAGCAGCAGCATAAATTAAATCTTTTAACAAACTTCATTATGTCCATACTTAGGTGGTAACACTTATGGAGTGAAAACCTCAGATTGCCTTCAAGTTAACATGTGAAACAAAATTTCAATCATATAAGCAAAACATCACACCATCTACCCTCAGAAGGGCCAGCATCTGGCCTGAGAAAAATAGCTTTGAGGAAGCACAAATAAAGAGACACAAGGCTCTGATCTTTCAGATGGAACTTTGCCAAAACGTACCTTTTTTTTTCAGTTCTCCTTCCAACTCGACATAAAAGAAATACTTCCTGGTAAAACCACTGCACAACATACACATAGGCATGCAGGTCTTCATTTACCTAATCATTCACTCACTTATTCACGTAGCGATGAACAGTGCAGAATGGCTATTAAACTTATCGATCGCAATAGGCAAGCATCCCTATTGTTACTCAGAAGCAAATATGTACCTCAATTCTTGGAGTCTATCCATTTCTTCGGTTTTCAGTTCATTCAGTTCCTTTGTTCTTCTGGAAGTTTCCGCATCAAGCCAATCAAGCCTAGCAAACAGAACAGAAAGTCACACAGATGCTGCGTGACTTCATCTTGACAGAAAAGGATGGAGGGTCAGAATGCCTTGGCTCCACTGCAGCCTTCTTAGGTGACCTGAGTCTTTTAAGCAAGGAAACAGTCAACAAACCTAAGAAGCATGGCTAGACCTAGACAATCTGAATTAGTTGCTAAAACAATTAGATGATCTGAAGAAGGTTGCCTACATTTTTCTACCTTGGAAAACAGATACTCACCTCCATTTTTGTATTTTGTTCATTTCTTTGGCTTTTAATTCTTCTAGTTCCTTCAACCTTTTGGAAGTTTCAACATCAAGCCAGGCGAGCCTAGCAGACAGTACAAAAAGAGTCAAGTCAATGTGACCTCGAAGCTGCAGAGTATCCTTACCACAGAAACAGACCAGGAGTCAGGATCCCCAGGCCCCAATCCTGGCTCAGGAGCTAACAGGAAAGGACTCTGGTGGCACAGTGGTTAACGCATTAGGCTACAAACCAAAAGGTTGGCAATTTGAACTCACCAGCTGCTCTACAGGAGAAAGATGAGGTGTCTGCTTCTGTAAAGATTTACAGCCTTGGAAACCTTACGGGGCCAGTTCAACTCTGTCCTATAGGTTGCTATGAGTCAGAATTGACTCAATGGCCATGTGTTTTGGGTTTAAGTAACATGACCTCTCTGTACCCCCTAATACTCTCCATGCAGTGTTTCAAGTAAAAAGACATTTATGTACAAAACCACCCCTAGCTAGTGTATAAAGCAACAAGAAACTGCCTACAAATATTCTCAAGAAAACTAGCCCTCACTGTACTTGAGATTTCTTATTCAACTGTAAAATAAAGCCCTTGCTGTATCTTCAAGTTTAGAGAAAGAAATGGACTCCCAGGAGAGTCTTGTAGGTATAATAAAGTCAAATTTTAAAAATGTTTTCTTTTTACCGTTACTGTCTGTACCTCTTGTGCACCTCTCCATGTCTTCCTTTTCCTTAGTGATATTGTGCCAGTCATATTTTTGTTATATTGCCTTTCTCTTCATCCAAAATATTTTTCCCCTCTTGTGGGATTCACACTTCACACTGGTATGTATATAGTGCCCAGACAACTGCCTCTATGAAAGGATAGTCTGAGAAACTGTCCTAATCTTAACAATCCCAAATAGCAACAAAACGAAGACCAAAAAAAAAAAACCCAAACCCACTGCCATCAAGTCAATTCCAACTCATAGCAACCCCCATTGGGTTTCGAAGGCAGTAAATCTTGCCCAACTTCCTTCTACAGAGCGGCTGGTGGGTTTGAACTGTCAAACCTCTGAGTAGCAGTCAAATGCCTTAGGCACTGCACCACCAGAGCTCCTAAAGGAAGATGAGGAATCAAAAGTCTCTTTGGATTCTTCCTCTCCCTCGTCTCTCATATCCCATTTACTGCCATGTCCTATTGATTACACAGTCTAATGTCATCCCCGAGCAGTCTTCCCCAGTGCCTTCACACAGAGTCAGACATTTCACACCTACTGCATTAGCGCACTCTCCAATTCTACTGGGACTGTTTAGGTATAGTCTATGTCCTCCTCCTGGCTGTGCCTCAAGAACAGGACATGTCTTACTCATCTTGAATTGCCCCAGCACCAGGGACAATGTGGGCCTGCAGTAGGTGCTCACTAAGTGCTGCCTGGAAAGATAAAGGGATCAAAGCATGCAGGGCAATCACAGACTCTACGCAGCCTGTACCTTCCACTCCTTTTTCTCCCTCTGATCTGTGCCCCATTCTATACTCTTCCTGAAGGTCCACCATATGCCCACAGCTCTAATTGAGGGCCTTAAGGGACAGATTTTAAAAATAACCTAACTGGCTTCCCTCCTTTGAGTCTATTTTCCAGCCCCCTGTCCACCACCCATTAGATTTATGTTTCTATGGCACATTCTAATCCAGTTGTGCCAGAATTCACAAACCTCCAAAGGCAGGGAGAGCCCTCAGCAGAGACCCAAATTCCTAAGCCCACCCTGTCCTGCTCCCCAGTCTACCCTTCCAACCTTATCACTGACTTTTCCTGTTGTTACCCTCTGCTTGAACCAAATGAAACTACTTCTTACTCTCTCTACACAATCCATAGTTTCGCACTCTATTTTCACCATTCTCTTCCCAGAGAATGTTCTCAACTCACCACCATATTTAAATCCAAGTCCTTTTCCCATTTCCATCTCCCTCCATGAAGCCTTCCCAGATTTCCACAGCAAGAAATAACCTCTCCCTCTTCTATGCTTTCTCAGTTCTTAATTCCCTAGGGTATATGCCATGCTCTATCTTAAATTATAATTAATTACATATCTTATCTTCTTTGAAGAAAATAAGATACGTAATTAATTATAATTTAAGAAGATGGCAATGAGTTTTAGTTTTAGTTATCTTCTCTACTGACTGTGAATAAGCAGGGGCTGGGGTTATGTCTTATTTGCTCTCTCTTAAAGTCTCCATAGAGCTTACAACTGTGACATGTATAAAACAAGTAAATGGTATACAACTAATAACCAAATTATTTTTTAAATGAATGAAATAAGGAATAAAAAAGAGGGACTCAATGTAAGTTGTGTAAGTTTGACAGAAAAGTCTGGTAATCTATAGTTAAAATAACTTTAGAAACAAGAAAGAGAAGATAAGGTGTACTTCAGTTTCCACCAAACACTCGTTGCTGTCAAGTCAATTCTGACTCAGAGTGACCCTACAGATTCTACTAAATATTATAGTTAGGATAACTATATATAGTTAGGATAACTATATATAGTTAGGATAACTATAATTATAGTTACATATATAATAACTATAGTTTTATAATATTTAGTAGAGTGACCCTACAGATTCTACTAAATATTATAGTTAGGATAACTATATATAGTTAGGATAACTATATATAGTTAGGATAACTATATATAGTTATCCTAACTATAATTATAGTTACATATATAATAACTATAGTTTTATAATATTTAGTAGAATCTGTAGGGTCACTCTGAGTCAGAATTGACTTGACAGCAACGAGTGTTTGGTAGAAACTAAAATACACCCTATCTTCTCTTTTGTGTTTCTAAAGTTATTTTACCTATAGATTCTACTAAAAGGAGCCCTTTAATCTTCTAAGATCTGAAATGCCAGCACAAACCTGGCTGCTTCATGTTCAACAGCACCTGGCAAGTGACTTTCCTCTTGCGTATCTTCTTGCTGGACAGACTGCTCTTTTGTGGCATCCTTGGGGCTATGTTTCACCTTTGTCCATGCAGCACTGCAAAAAATAGAAAAGTGTATCTTTGTTACCATTTGCCCCATGTTCAATGACTCCTCCAACAGTGTCAGGTCAGAGAAAACGAGAAATTACATTAATGGTGATTGATGTCATGGTGCCCTAAATCAGAAACTGAATGTGAAGAAGAATGAGGGCCTGCAGACCTTAAGCCTCTGTTACCCTTTGCTTCAGAGAAGCAGTCATTATTTTAAAAGAAAAAACAACTGTCAATCACAGAGCAACAGGTGAACTTTGACAAAACTCTTGTTATAATATACAGTCAGGCCACTAATTACATTCCTTATTACAAAGCAACTCTTTAGCTTTTTAAACCAGAATACAGCATTCTTATCCACACCCCTTCCCTCTCCCATCCCTCATACATGCATTCTAGAAGACATCCCAACATATATCGGGTTTGAAACACACTTCAACTGATGTTATTTATGGGCTTACCAACTGTATTCACATTTCTGAATTAATACTCATGAACATTATGAAATCAGAAGACCTGATTTTAGTTCTAGCCCTGCTCCATCAATGTAGAGATGTGAAATTCTTTAAACATCATTTCTTCAACTTTAAAATGGGGGTTGATGGATAAGCACAGCCACACATTCAGAATCATTCAGAATCTGAAAGGGAGGCCATTCCACCAGGCTTCTCACCCAGTCTTTTGACAGCCTCCAAAAGGCAGACGAGACACTCATCGTTCTCTCACTCATTCTCCTCCTCACATTACCATTTTTTCTTTCCTTCCTTCCTGCTACCGTCCAACCTCCTGGTCCTTTCCACTGTGCTTTCCAGAATCACTGTCCTGTGGTAAATAAACTCCCCTTCACTTTAACCAATATCCCAAAGATTATTTCCACCTAACTAGCTGGGCCCAGGCCCCCCTAGAGGACAATACCCTATTTCTTTGGTGCTGCCTCATTCTCCATGTGCTATGAATGAGGGTGATAAGTGATAATGTCCCCTGCAGTTAGGACAGTTTCTATTACATTTGTATGGTTTTATAATTCATAATCATCTTGCCTTGGAATTGGAAATTATTTTTAAATATTTATTCACTCAGCAAAGACTTACTGAATGCCTACTAAGTGCCAGGCACTGAGCTAGGCATGGGACATACAGATATAAGAAAGGGCATAGTTCTTGGCCCAAGTAACTAGAGTCTATTGTGAAAGGAGACAAGTGAAGAGAAACCCATGATCCTCCATATAATGACGCATGTCCATATGTCTGCAGGGTGACAGGGTGGCACATGGGAGGATCTCAAATCACAGGTAAGTGGGAAAAAGGAACCAAAAGGCTTTTGGGCAAAAATTTCTTTTGTCTCACTGACCCAAACATTACTTTACCTTCCTAACGGTACCTAAGGCTGCTGATTTATTTGCTCTAAGCTGGAAGGAAGGTTGGGTAATCTACTTCCGTAGTGATACTGCCTCGGAAACCCAAGGAAGGGTCGCTATAAGTCGGATCTGACTCAGCGGCAGTGAGGATGCTTTTTAAGCTATAAGTAACCTTTGATTTGTGGAGTAAAAATAAAATCATATACTTGCATGGTCCCTTGAATTTTCACATACCATTTAGGGGATGCTGGTGGCGATGTGGGATTTGGTGGTATCCAAGGAGCCCTTTGGTCTCTCACAGGCTGTTGGTTCATTTTCAGTCTGGACGAGACTGTTGTCTGGTGCAACCTGCTTTTGATGTGAGGTTGAGTTGGTTTACACTTTTCAGCTTTATGGAGTCCCTGCAAGTGATAAGTATAAATTATAAAGCCAAATGGCTATCAAAGAAACCCTGCTTTCAGTCTTTGGTTTACTGAATCTCCAAGTGTCCCTACACTATTCAGACATCTAATTCAGCAAAAACACTAACTGGAAAGCACTATGGGAGAAGTTTTAAGGGGAGGGTATATGTGACACTGAAACACCCCTAGTGACCAGGAGAGGGGAACAAGGGTGCAGAATTAGAGCCCTGGCTTTGCCACCTTTATATGCTTCTATTTTTCTATATTCATTTTTCCTAATTAACAAAAAAACCCTGTAACATATTATTCAGCAGTAAATCATAAAACATTCTTGGTTACAATACTTTAATCTTACATCACAGCCACAATATATAAACAACTACTATAACTCAACAATAAAGATATAAAACCCAATCAACAAATGGAGAAAAAATTTGAATAGACATTTCTTCAGAGAAGATATACAAATGTCTAATGAACACATGAAAAATGTTCAAAGTCATCAGTCATTAGAGAAATGCAACCAAAACCATAATGAGATACTTTATGCCTACCAGGATGGCTATTAAAACAAAACAAAAAAACAGAAAATAACAAGTACTGGTGAGAATCTGGAGACATTAGAACCCTCATCCATTGCTGAGGGGAATGTCAAGTAGTGTAGTTGCTATGAAAAAGTCTGGCAGTTATTCAAAAAGTTAAACAAAGAATTACCAAATGACCCAGCAATTCTACTCCTACAAATATATCGAGAATTAAAAGTAGGGATTCAAACAGATACTTGTATACCAATGTTCATTGCAGCACTATTCATAATAGCCAAAAGGTAAAAACAGCCCAAGTGTCCACAGATGACTGGATAAACAAATGTGGCCTATACATACAAAGGAGTATTATTCAGCCAGAAAGAGAAATGAAGTCCTGACACATGTTACAAATTATAACCTGTGAAAACACTAAGTGAAATGAATCAGACACAAAAGGATAAATACATGAATATCTAGAAGAGAATCACACAGACAGAAAGTGGTTTAGTGGTTGCCACGGGCTAGGGGAGGAAGGGAGAAATGAGGAGTTACTTCTTAACAGTGAGAGTTTTGGTTTGAGGTGATGAAAAGGTTTGGGAAACAAACAGTGGTGATGGTTACACATGTGCCTTGAAAATGATTAAAAACTGCAAATTTTATGTTTTGTATATTTTACCAGATTAAGAAATAATCTGCCCTTTCCTCCAAAATACTTAATCTTTCTGAGTTTTACATTTCTTATCTGTAAAATGGAGATAATAGTTTCTTTCTGTTTCTGAAGATCAGATGGGGGAGGGTGATAACGATGAAGGCAGACAGCATATGCCATCTACATGGCAGGAAGCAGACTATTTAAACACACGCCTCTGGAGAAGAGTACCATGCTGAACTACTACAGGCTCAGTCCTGACTTCCCGCCTTCATACTAGTTTGCTTGGAAAGAATCAAGGCTTGGTCCTAATTCATGAACTGTCAGTAACCGGTAATTACTGCTCAATACCCTCTTCCTGGAACCCCCTGACAATACACAGGTTTGCTAGAGAAGCCTTTGGACAGTACTGTCAAACGGCATTGATGACAGTAAGGGGTATCCAGACTAGGAGGTGGTCTTCTGCCCAGTTCTCTGCTGGTAGGGCTTTAAGTGAATTTTAAATAGAAGCTTAAAATATTATTTCTTTGTTGGGAGGGGAGGGGAGCGGAGAGGATTTGAGGAGAGAGGGGGGAGGGAACACTGCTAGAAAGGTAGAGACAAGTACTGATTTGGGTGAAGAGAAAGGCAATATAAAAAAATATAAACATAATATAATATAAAGGCAATTAAAAAAATATATATGTATGTATGTAATTTAGTTTCTTAGTTAATTCTAACTACTCACCTAGCTCCCAAAACTGTATGAGAAAGTATTGATCCTAGAATGTCTTTTAATGTTAAGTGATCATTACTTATACATGTTTATCCTTTAGCAGGAACCAAGTTTCAAATTTCACACTTCCAAGTGAGAAACAAAAAAACACTGAGTTTTAGAACAGCCTGCCCACTTAGGAGGTTGACATTAAATTAGGATCTTACTGAGCCAGGCCAAGAGAGAATGCTCAGCGTCCTAGCAGCAATACTGAAAAGTGCTATTTTCTCTCCACCCTCCTTAAAAAAGAAAATCAATCTGCAGTCAGTTAAGCTCAGATAGTTATACTTAGAGTTTTGTCACCTTCCTGCCTGAGAGCTCCAGTCCCAGCTCCACCACTGACTAGCCTGTGTGACCTTGTACAACTTCCGATCAATATAAATGGGCCAAAAGGAAGAAGTGACGTCATACCTGCTGCGGTCTTGCAGGCGCCAGAGCATCTTTCTTCCTAAAAGGCACAGGCGCAGTCACAGGCTTCCTTTTCACTGCTCTTGTTTTTGCCAGGGCTAATGTTTCGTCTCTGAAGCTTGCGTTTTGGTCTAAAATAGATGGAGTTTCTTCCTGAAGGACATCTACAGCCAATGCATCAAGCTCGTCCTCTAACCTCTTAGTCACTGGAAGCTCGGTATCAGGTTGACACTTATCTATATAGAGATTTCAGAAGACAAAGGGAAAAGGCTATTCAAATCAAGTCAGTGAAAATGACTATCTATAGACGGTTAAACTCCAGATATGAATCTCTAGCCTTGTTGAAAACTTGCTACTAAACTCACTCCTCCTCCTGTGAATACTATGCAGTTATTTATATAAGCAGAAACCTAGGTGCCTTGGCTGCCTCTAAGTCTCAACTCCCACATTTACTCATTCACCAGGTTCTTTTGATCCTAATTCCAAAATACCTCTAGTATTAATCTCCACCCTTCCTCCCCTTCTGCCACCCCCAAGGTCAGATTTGCAATATCTACTAACAATAGCATCTTCTAATTTTGTCCCTTGTTTAACTTTGATCACACCTTCACCTTGCTGTCAAAATTGATTTTCTAATATGTAAATATTTAAATACTACTCCTCTACACCAAACTTCCAGTAGCTCCTAACTCCTATCTGATACAGAATAAAGTACAAACTCCAAACATGACATTCAACCTGTAACTGGAAAGAACAAAACCGTCTTTATATGAAGATGAGACAATGGTCTATACAGACCAAGAGAATAGATAATTAGAAATAAAAAGAGTTCAGCATGGTTCCTGGATGTAAGATGATAAGAATGCAAAATGAGTATCATTTCCACATATCAAAATAATCAGAAAACATAAGAGAAGATATAAAAGAAAAAATATCCCATTAACATTAGCAACAAAAACTATTAGGCATCTAGGAATAAATCTAACACTACATATAAGATGTTTGCTGAGAAAATGAAAAGGTATTCTTAAAGGATGTAAAGACCTGAATAAATTTTTTCATGAATAGAAAGACTCAATACTATAAATATGTCAATTCTCTCAAAAATAATCAAATGCATGTTAAATTAAAATCCCAACAGAATTTTCTGTGGATTTAACCTAGCTGATCTTAAAATTCACATGAAGAGTAAAATCTCAAGAAATACCCAAATAATTTTAAAGAACAAAATCATGTGTGTGGAGAGAGGAGGAGTCATTTTACTGTACCAGACCTAAAGGCTTCATTATACGACTACAACATGAAGCCAGAGTGGAAGTTATGCAGGACCAGGCACAGAGGCAATGTAGTAAATGGCTACAACAGAAGCGACTTACAAATCAGTGAGTACACACTAGACTGCTCAATAAGTAGTGCAGAAACTATGGATATTCCCAAGTTTAAAAAAAAAAAAAAAAAGAGTGGGTCCTTGATGCACAATGAAAAAAACAAATTCTAAATGAAACAAAGACCTAAATATGAAAGGAAACATTTCAAGTTTTTAGAAGAAAGCATAGGAGAATATTATTACAACATCAGGACAGAAAAGAATTTCTTAGAGTCAAAGGATAAACAATAAAGAAAAATACTGATATATTCAAATTTGATTGCACCAGCCTACAACTTCCTTTTGACAAGAAAATTCAACAAAAAATTAAGACAAAACCCAGAATCTGGAAGTAGATATCTGTAATCATATAACTGACATTGGATCAATACCCAAACACATAAATTCAAATTAAAACAATGAGATAACATTTTACATTCATCAGATTGCCACTCCCCTCTAAAAAATTGTGACAATACGAAGTATAAGCAAGAATGCTGAGAAACAAAAGCTCTCAGACTACCCACTCATTGCCATCACGTCGACTCTACCTCATAGTGACCTTCATTGGGTTTTCAAGGCTGTAAGTCTTTATGTTAACTGACTGCTTCATCTTTTTTTTGGCGCAGCAACTGGTTGGTTTGAACCACCAACCTTTTGGTTAGCAGCCAAATGCTTTAACCATTCTATCACCAGAGCTCCTTCAACGACTACTAGCATATGTATAATTAGCCCAAATCGTTGGAGAGCAATTTAATTGTTTTTATTTTAGTTAAAGATTCTCACATAGTACAACTCAGCAACTTCACTTCTAGGATATACTCGGCCTATGTACGCATCATTCTGCAGACTGTTTGTTCCCCACTTACGTTTATAAGATTTGTTCATATTGATACAGGAATTTTAATTTATCAATTTAATTGCTGTGTACATTTTCCTTGTATAGATTTATCACAGTTTGTTTTCAGTTCTTTTTACTGACAGACATTAAGGGCGTTGCTAATTTTTTAGTATTTATAAACAATGATGAAGTGATTATCTGAGGCTCATGTCTTCTGTGCATGTATGTGAGAACTCCTGTGTTGTTGTTGTTGTTGTTGGCCAACCGACAGGAAGAGATCCATATCTGTGCCCAGGTAGCTGTCTTCCAAACATCTTGACATAAACAAGTAAGCGTCTCCAGTGCTGCAACCGTTTGTTGAAACATCTCAATGGCCGTTCTGTCAATTCCTGGAGTCCTGCTTTTCACCAATCCCCTCAATTGCAAGTGCAATCACAGCAGTTAAAACTGACAAATTAAAACTCATGTATCAGTATAAACAAATCTTATAAACATAAGAGGGGGGAAAGCAATGCACAGAATGATACATACTGTAAGGTATTATTTACTTAAAATGTACAGCATATGAAGTGACACTTTATGCAGCGGAAATATAAAAACAGAACAATAACAACAACCGTAGTAACCTCTCAGTGAAAGAATGAGGCGTATGGAGTAGGGACTTCAACTATAACTGTCATATTTTATTTCTAAAAATTTTCTGAGGCTAATAATAAAGCAAAGGTGTTAACATCTGCTAAACCTGGGTGTTTGGTACCAGAGTGTTTATTATTCGCATTCTTTTTCTGTATGTTTTAAATAATTAAGTAAAACCAAACCTGCTACTCCATGTGTGTCAGAGTAAACTGTGCTCCATAGCATTTTCAATGGCTGACATTTTAGAAGTAGGGTTTCTTGGCTGTAATCCTACAAAAGCAGATCACCATGCCTTTTTCTGTGGCACTGCTGGGGGGGTTTGAACAGCCAACCTTTAGGTCAGTAGATGAGAGGGAACAGCACCACCTAGGGACCTTACTTCACCATAAAAGGAAAACTACATTCAGACTATTTTAACAACAGTAAACCCACAAGCCACTCCTCGGAAGGAGGGTTGGGCAACCTACTTCCGTAGTGATACCACCTCAGAAACCAAGGAGGGGTCGCTATGAGTCCGGTCTGACCTGAAGGCACATAACAACAACATGCCAAGGGTCATAGCTTCCTGGCATCACTTCTTCCTTAATCTGGTACTGGTCAAGGCTGGAGAAGTCACACAGCAAGGAAAATATAAATCAGCAGAAAAGAATGCCAAGATCGACTCTGTAATTTATTAACCCTCAAATTTCTATCCAGGAGGGTAGCCTGAATCTGACCTCTACATATCCTGATGGCTTTTCAGTTATGATTTGAATCAATCAATACCCAAATGCAGTACAAATTTTGAGAGCACCTGTAGCTGAATTTGAGGACATTGCTGCTGGTGGCAAGGGAGCCACCTGTATCTGACAAGTTACACAAATGCAAGTGATTATGGCAAACATTTCAGGAGCTGCTGAAAAACTGCACCAGCCAACAATTTCCTTAGTCACAAGGAAGCTGATCTGCTGCTCATTTCAGGCTCACACATACATCCCAGCGGGAGTCCACTGAACTGATTCCCTATGATCTTTTTTTTTTTTAATTCCTTTGGGGTGGGGTGGGGTGGGGTGAATATGGGTGCAGGGGGAGACCTTAGGAAACCAGAAAGGAAGAATTAAGTAGGCAGAGTAACTTCTAAAAAAATATTAATCTAAAACAGAAAAAGAGAAATGTGACCTGAAATCCAGTTCATAAGGACAAAAAGAAACAATAAAAATAAAAGAAATACATCTTTCCCCACAATCAAATGTATTAAACTTGCAAAGTAGCTAACTATAACTACCCTTCAATTTGTAACAACAATGGTAACAATACTATCATCCCTGACTTCTGCTTAAGGCTTTTTACAATAATCTGCATTCATCACCTCATTTGAGCCTCACCATGACATGACACTTCAGTGTTTTACTCAAGGTCACAAGAAGAGCAAGTAGCAGAGACCAGTCTTCTGACTTGCAGTCCAGGGCTAGGGCCCATTCTTTCTGCCCTAGTCATGGACTACAGAGTTGTTCCACATAAATTTATTTTCCTGAACACTGATGCTCACTTTTTTATGATCCCCTAGCTTCATTAATTTTAAAAACCAACAAAACTCATTTTAAACTAGCCCCAAAGATTTTCTCTTACTCAGAATCTGCCTCATAGAATCCAGCCTTTTCTTAACAACCTAGGTGATATATTATGAGCTAAAAAAAAAACAAAAAAACTTACATTTGTAAAGCACTTGGCAATGATCCAATCTGCTACTTACAACAAACATGTCACCTATACAGGATAAGGACTATTATCCCCATTTTAAAGGTGAAAAAATTAAGGTTCAGAAAGATTAGGTCATCAAGTCAAGGTCACAAACTGGTCGAGTTGGGATTAGAAGCTAGGTCTGGGCTTTTCTCCGTCTGCCTGCCTCCTTTTTCACATTTGTTCCTGTAATGTTGGTTCAACATGTGAAAATCAACCAATTTAATACAGCACACCAATAGAATGAAAAACAAAACTACATGATCATCTCAATAGACACAGAAAAACATTTGAGAAAATCCAATACCCTTCTATAACAAAATACTCAACAAACTAGGAAATTTCCTCATCCTAATAAAGGGGATCAATGAAAATCCCACAGCTAACATCATACTTACAGATCAAAGACTGAACACTTTCCCTTAAGGTTAGGAATTAGATGAGGATATCTGCTCTCACCCCTCTATATTCAATATTGTACAGAGGTTCTAGCCAAGGGATTAAACCCATAAAATCCACGGCCATCAGGTCAGTTCCAATTCACAGAGACCCTGCAGAACGGAGTAGAAGTGCCCTACAGGTTTCCAAGGCTGTCATCTTTACAGAAACAGAATGCCTACAGAGTGGGTGGTGGGTTTGAACCATCAACCTTTCCGTTAGCAGGTCAGTGCTTAACCACTGCATCACCACTTGCCAGGGCAATCAAGGAAGGAAAAACAAACAAACAGCATCCAGACTGGAAAGGAAAAATTAAAACTATATTTGCAGATGATGATTTTGTATATAGAAAAATCTTATAGGAACCAACCCCTGAAATTACTAGCACTAATACATGACTTCAGCAAGGCTACAAGCTACAAGGTCAAAATACAAAAATCAACTGCATCTCTATACACTTATAATAGTAATTCAGTTGAAAAATTAAATTAAGAAAACATTTCCAATGACAATAGCATCAAAAAGAATAATATACTTAGGAATAAGTTTAACAAAAGAAGTATAAACTTATACTCTGAAAACTAAAAATATGCTTAAAGAAATAATTGAAAAAGCATTCCATGTTTATAGATCAGAAAACACTGTTCAGATGGTCAGTTTGTGGCTCCCTGTTGGGAGGGGCCGTGTCTTAAAATTGACAACTTGTGAGTGCATGTGTGTATGAACACATATCTACATATATAGATAGAGATATAGATACACACGTTCACGCTTGATAAAGTAGAGGGTCAGTGAAAAAGGGAAAGGCCCTCAATGAGATGGACTGACACAGTGGCTGCAATGATGGGCTCAGGTATAGCAGGGATTGAGATGCTGGCCCAGAACTGGACAGTGTTTTGTTCTGTTGTACACAGGGTTGCTATGAGTCACAGCCAACTCAACGGCATCCAACAGCAACAACAATATATACATGTGCGTGTGTACATACATACATAAATACCAAAAACCAAACCCACTGCCAGTGAGTTGATTCCGACTCACAGCAACCCCCACTGGGTTTCCAAGGCAGTAAATCTTTACAGAAGTAGATTGCCCAGTCTTGCTTCTGCAAAGTGGCTGGTGGGTTTGAACTACCAACCTTCTGGTTAGCAGTCAGATGCCTTAGTAACTGTGCTACCAGAGCTCCTTTTATATATTTACATGTATATATATTCCCTCATCTACAAACTGACCAATCCCCTCTAGATAGGAGGCAGACACTTCATCTGCACAGCAGGCTACAAACACTTCATTTGCATAGTATATTGACCAAGTCCATCAAGGTGCATACATATCACAGGGCATGCTACAGCCCAAGATCAGATAAGAAGTATCAAACCATATTGTTTACAGCTGTCAACCAACCTAGATAAATGTAACAAACTTTCTAGGGTGGGAACTAGGGCAAAGGTAACTCCTCAAGGCATAGAGGAAAAATCTCTCAAGCTGTTTTGCCACAGAACCAAGGCAAAACTCCACACAAAAGAACTCACTTCACCACTGTGTGTGTGTGTGTGTGTGTGTGTTTGTAACACAAACTCTAAAAATAAGTACGGTTCTGCTTCTGGCTCTGTAGAAATCCACTCTGAGTGGCTCAAAAGCTCTAACAGAAAAACAAAATAGAGAATTTTACTTTCTCCAATCTCCTCTATAGGGAGCCCTGGTTGTTGTTGTTGTTGTTATTTGCCGTCCAGTCGGCCCCGACTCATAGCGACCCCTCCTCGGGTTTCCGAGGCAGTTATCACTACGGCAGTAGGATTGCCCAACCTTCCTTCCGAGGAGTGGCTGGTGGGTTTGAACCGCCAGCCTCCTGGTTAGCAGTCAAGTGCCTTAGGCACTATGCTACCAGAGCTCCCTGGGAGCCCTGGTAGTGCAGTGATTAAGGGCTTGGCTGCTAACTGAAAGTTCGGGGGTTCGAACTCATCAGATGCTCTACAGGACAAAGATGTCTGTTTCCATAAAGGTTTATAGCCTGGAAACCCTATGGAGCAGTTCTATCTGTCCTATAGGGTCTCTATGAGTCAGAATTGACTTGGTGGCAGTGGGTTTGGGTTTCTGATGGATGAATGAATAGCCTCTGGTCTGAGAAAGCATCTTGGTTCCTAATCACTCATCCTAAAGGGCCTCTATTACGGACGACCTTCTGAATTCTTATTTTCCCTTCAGTGTAATAACTGTGACCGTCCAGATGGTTTCAAAGAATAAAGTATCTTGCAATAAACACTTGAAGACACATACCAGCAAGAAGCTTCTTTGCTACTGAAGGTCGGCCTGTTTCCTGTGGAAACATCTCCTTTGCTCCAGAGAGTCTCCTTTCACTCTTCGATGATGTACTTGGCCATTTCTCTAAGACTCTTTGGCTACCAACAGGAAATTTGCTCCGAGTTCCAGAGAAACATTTTTTCACTTTTTTTGGTGACAGTTTCTGTTCCAGGAGGGATTCCAAGTCCTATCATGAAATCATTCAATTATTCTTACTTTGTATCACAAAAGAATGCTTTTTAATCACAAAACTAAAAAGGACTTCAGAAAAATGTGTTAAAGAAACCACTATTTTTAATGGTCAACCAAATATTGTTGAACTTAATTTTAAAACTTAACCATTTAGGACATCAAATTAATCAATAAAAGGAATTTATCCATTTTTTTTTTTAAAAAAAAAGGAAAAAGCTTGTTTAGCTCACTAACCAAATCAAAACCAAACCCACTGCCACTGAGTCAATTCTGACTCAAAGAGACCCTATAGGACAGAGAAGAACTGCCCTACAGGGTGTACAAGATATTTACAGAAGCAGACTGCCTTATCTTTTTCCAGCAGGGCAGCTGGTGGGTTTGAACTGCCAAACTTCTGGTTAGCAGCTGAATACTTTAACCACTGTGCCACCAGAGCCCTTTAGCTCAATAAAAGCAATAGCAAAGACATGAAGAATGATTACTTCTAAGGGCATCCCAGGAGCTCTGGTAGCATAGTGCCTAAGGCACTTGACTGCTAACCAGAAGGCTGGTGGTTCAAACCCACCAGCCACTCCTCAGAAGGAAGGATGGGAATCCTACTTCTGTAGTGATACTGCCTCGGAAACCCAAGGAGGGGTCGCTATGAGTTGGGACCGACTCAATGGCACATAACAGCAACAACAACAAGGCATCCCAATCCTAAAATTCAGGATCACCCTTTTAGAAATTAGAACTATAGTCCTCAGAATACAATCCTATATGCTTTAAGAGCATTTTAATTCAAAATGAAAACTTCACAAATTCAAACAGTATTTTAAGTGAGCCAACTGCTATATTTAACATAATTTTCATAAACTAAACAAGTCCAGTGGCTTTGCTCACTCATCTACCATAATACTGGTAGGAGATCCATGTCCCCTCTTCCTAAAATAGACGTACCCTCTAATACATAGCCACACATTGGCTACCAGGCGGAGTGAAGGCCTTGTCTCTATCCAATCAATACAAAAACAACGGTAAGTAAACATAGTTGGGGAGATTTAGTTCAGATAATAATAAAGTACTCTTTAGAAATGCTGTGGAATAGTATATCAATACTAAGAATAAATTTCTTGCACTGAGTATTTTCAAAAGTAGGGGTGATAAACATTATGTGAAGAAAATTTATTCTTGTTCAAACTTTGGAAGAGGGCCTAGATAATCATGAGAGCCTCTCTAGGATTATGAAGGCAAATCATTTAAATGAAGTCATTCTGGCTAATCACTTTCTTATCGGTAAAGTTTAAAAAGCATCACATTACGATATGCTGCCTAACGTTCTGAGATCCGCATTTGACGATGACCTCCCTGATGCTGTGTTCTGTACAAACACATTTACTGTATAATGGGATTTTAAAGCCAGAAGGGGACTTATGACAATTAAGGATCTCATTAACAGTAGAACTAGCATGTCACTAAGTACAGAATTCTCCCCACTGTATCATCTTCCTCTATAGCTAACATTTCTTACTATGGCATGCTAACATAAAGATTATCTTTTTTATTTGTGAATGAAAGTGTATGGCATAGTGGAAATAAAACTGCAATGAAAATTAGGAGATAGAAATTTGATTCCCAGCCTCAAGACAAGTAATTGTGTATGCTCCCTGACCTTTTCTTTTTTTTAAATCTGCAAAATAGTAGTAATAAAAGCTATCGCAAATCATGTTGCTGTTGTTGTTATGTGCCATCGAGTCAGACCTGATTCACAGCGACCCCTCCTTGGGTTTCCAAGGCAGTATCACTACGGAAGTAGATTGCCCAATCTTCCTTTCGAGGAGTGGCTGGCAGGTTTGAACCACCAGCCTTTTGGTTAGCAGTCAAGTGCCTTAGGCACTACGCTACCAGAAATCGCAAAGCATAGTTGTGTGGTAAAGATCAAAGGGCATAATTATGTGGTAGCATTCTACAAACTTCAGAGAACGAGAGAGATTTAAGGGAATAGTGTGCTATTACTGTCTTTGTCACAGTTAAGTACTAAGAACACCATCCATCCCTGACTTGAACATGTCAGGGAGGGCTTATCTGCTGTTGGGATTTCCAGCAATACCCAGTCAAATCATAGGATTTGAGGCTCTGCTTGTCTTCTAAGATCCATCAAGATCAAACACTAATATTCTAATCTTAACACTAATCTAAGAGTATGTTATTAATTGGCACAGCCAGGGATGAATGAAAAAAACAAAACAAAACAAAACAAAACTCACTGCCATCGAGTTGGATCCGACTCATAGAGACCCCTCCTTGGGTTTTCAAGGTCACTATGGAAATAAGATTGCCCAAACTTCCTTCCAAGGAGTGGCCGGGGGGGGTTAAACCACCAGCCTTCTGGTTAGCAGTCAAATGCTTTAGGCACTATGCCACCAGAGCTCCCTAGGGATGAACAGTCTGTTTAATTAATGGACCTGGTTAAGAGTTGTTATATGTCACAAAATCTCAAAGAAGTAAAATATAATAATATAGGCTAGACGGTGGGAACAGTAAAATAAAAACCAAGTACGTCTCCTCATCCTGCTGTGAAGCTTTAACTGACGAAGCAGCACTTCTGTCGTGAGTCTCCACCAATCCTAATGAAACCAGCAATAGCATTACTTCTCTGCTTAGAAATAAAATACTTTTCATGTTAATTGGAGTCAATCTCGTACCTCAATTTGTTGCAGGATATCTATAACCACATCAGGGACAGAAGGATCAGAATCCAGCTTGGCAGAACAGAGTGAAAGTTGGCGGATGAGACTGCCCAGTTCACGAATCCGTGAAGGAACTGGGTGTTCTCCTCGGTCAGTAAACTGAGTGACAAATACCTGTAAGGCCCGAATGGCCCCACGGTGGGCAGCTGCCAGCCTAGACATTGCCCATGACTGATAATAAATAAGAAGGGAGAAGTTATTTTGATGTTCAGAACTTTCTAATACAACCCAACCCATAAATAAGAATATTTACAGTCCATCTTCTTCATAGAGAGCTCTTCCTGGTGTCAAAACATTTTTCATAATAAAGGAAATTATAAAGTTTAAAGTTTCTAATGACAAAGTCTTTTCTCTTCCTACTCTCAGTTTTTTTATACCAGCAGCAACAACAGAAAATTATTCTTCAGAACCTGTTCACTGGAAGGCAACTTCGTATTCAGAATTAAGCGGTGACTCCCTCAACAACAGCTTTCTACAATACTCAAGACAGTATTAATGCAGAGAACCCACACGTAATACTAACAATGGAAATGTAATTTATAAAAAGTATTAATCATAATTTAATTGCATCATACCTTCTTAGTGTGCTTAATTTTATGTGGGCTCAATTTATCCAAGTCTTCCTGGATTTCCTTTATCTGTTTTATAAAGAGGAAAAAAATGATAAATTTCATACCTTTCCACTGATCTTTTTTTGTAGAAAAGAATACATCTTGTCCAAATACAACCATTATTAATTACAGTCACTTGAAAATGAGAAAACACTCTTCATTCACGCCTCATAAAAAGTTACTGGTGTCCAGTTCAAGATGGTGAATAGAGCAGTGTACACCTTCTATCCCTTGGTCCCCAATATAATAGGAATTTAGTATGAAGGAGCAAAGGTGGAGGTGACTCCGGAAAGGCAAGAGGGCCATATCATGAAGTCTTAAGTGCCATGACCAAGAATGCATCCTTTAACCTGTAAGTTACAGAGAGCCACTGAAGTCTTTTAAGCAGAGGTCTGAGATTATAAGATTTGTGTTTTAGAACAATTTCTATGGCAGCAAAGTAGAGTAAGGACTGAAATATAATAGAATAAAATCTAATTCAGATATTTTTTAAACAAAAACATCAAGTTTTTGATTTAAGCAATAAGGTCAATGTGTGACTTCAGTGGCCAGAAGTGAGTTAAAGGCTAATAATTAACAAGTAAGGCACTAAGTTCACCACAAACATTTAAAAGTATCTAACCACAATGTCAAGACTACAAATAACTGTCTATCAGTTACTAAATGTGTCCTAAGAAACATTTAACAAGGTCTTTACTTTTCCACTATCAGAATGCAAATGTATTACTATTACTACAGGAAGAATCAAATTATTTACTATTGACTAAGCTCCTACTAGGAGCTCTGGTAGCATAGTTCTTAAGGCACTTGACTGCTAACCAGAAGGCTGGCGGTTCAAACCCACCAGCCACTCCTCAGAAGGAAGATAGGGCAATCTACTTCCGTAGTGATACTGCCTCGGAAACCCAAGGAGGGGTCGCTATGAGTCGGGTCCGACTCAACGGCACATAACAACAACAACAAGCTCCTACTGGATTATAAACACTAGACAGAGGGGAAACTAACAAGGTCCCTTTCCTCTAGAACTGTTGTCGTTGTTATGTGCTGTCAAGTTGGACCTGACCCATGGTGACCCCTCCTTGGGTTTCCAAGGTGGCATTACTACAGAAGTAGATTGCCCAACCTTCCTTCCGAGGAATGGCTGGTGGGTTTGAACCGCCAGCCTTCTGGTTAGCAGCCAAGTGCCTTAGGCACTATGCTATCAGAGCTCCTTCCTCTAGGACTAGGGTTCATTAATGGGACCATGACTTTGCAGTAACCAACCCACTTGACTTTAAACGCAAAATTATGTGCTGTACAATGCAGGCACACATTTTTCTGGGGAAAGGACCCAAAAATCTATGGCCCTCAAAAGTTAACCCCATTTCTAAGGAGTCTAGCCATTCACACATAATAAACACACAATGACAAAAAGAAAACAAAAATAACTATTTGCCCATAGGTGCAAGAAATCTAGCCTACACAAAGCATTTGTATAGGATATTTTGGTGCTAATTATTAGGAATCTCTGAGAAATGTGGTACACCAAGTGGAACATCCCTCTCCCCTGGGCTTTCCCACCTGCTGCTGGAGGACATAGAGCATCCGGGCAGAGCGCACGGCTTGCTCTTGTCTCCTGATTTGGACTCGTCGCTCTTCATCTGGATCCAAAGCCTCTTCTATTCTACCTGCAAAGATTGTTTTTCCCAAGAGTGGATTATAAACCATATATAAAAACTTCTAAAAATTTCAGTTACTTAAAAGAGGTAATAAATGTTTAAAGCTCTGTTTTTATCAAGGGAAAAAAATTAGGCCACTGCAACAGAAAAATATCATCATTCATTAACCAAGACACCAGGAATGAGTGGGCTGATGTACTGACTCAGCCATGGAGGGGACATGAAGACATGAACTAGACTGAGTTCCCCTCCAGGCTGGAATACCCTGAACCAATGCTACTGTATGGCCCTGTGAGGGTTCACTTACTACTGCAGAATTCTTTACATTAAGCCAAAAATCTGTCATGCCTTCTAGTTTAAAAAAAAAACAAAACCTTTACTGGCCTACTTTTACATTTAGCAAGATTACCTTCATACTGCCTTATCTTGAATCAAAGAGAAATCCTTCCTTGAGCATATTAAAATGGGAAGTGCTAAAATCACTAAATGTATGTAGTATTCATATATTTGTTAGGAAGCATAGGCTTGTATACACTGATGCTCCACATTTTCAAAAGACTGGTTCAAAGAAATTGTTCCTGGAAGATTGCCTGAGGGAGTGTAGTCTTTCCATTCCTCCCTGTGAGTAGTTTTCAAAAATGTTTATATAAACAAATTCTTGGACAAAACCCCAACATACCAATAATCAGATAAAAGCAGCATTGTGTTAGTGTAAGTCTATTCTGTAAATTTTCAGTGTTTACTTATTAAAACTCAAACAATGAAAACAGTAAGGCTGTTTTGAAGAAAGCACAAATGTGAAATCAGGAATTATGGACACAGATGCAGTCTTACAGAAGCCAACAAAGCCCAATTATTTCTCTCTCATTTGAGCTGCACACTACGGTGAAAACTCAGGTTCACACACTATATGAATACAAAGGGTAAGTGACAGGCAGGGTTGTTTAACTATCCACCGTGTGGATGAGTCGGATACAACCATCTATGGAGCAGCACTTGGGAAGCACTAGTGGGCACTACAGTGCCACTCAAAGGTGGTCGGTGGCAGAGGGGTGCCCACAAACTGTCATCAGTTCACGACAACATAAGCACAAAAACTGGAAGTATGTATTTACACATTTTTATAGTGTTTTGCTATTGTCATGACACTTTTATTATACTGTACAAAAGTACTGATTTGTGAGGGATTAAATATTAAAAACAAAAACAAACTCAGACTTTCTCACACAAATAGTTGCACACCGCTCTAAAGAGTCACCTGATTTCGGCCAGATCACCAGAGTAGTGACCTCATGGCTGGGGAGTCAAGCCACAGACCAATACCAAGGGGTGTTACAAGAAACAAGCCTCAAGATGGTAGTCACTGCTTGGTCACAGCCAGCTACCGAGAGGGACCGAGTAGTTGAACCTGTGGGCTTGGAACCATAGTTGCAGGGGACATCAAGCTCAAATGGCATAACATACTACACAAAACATTGTTCCACCTCCTACTTTGGCGAGTAGCGACCGGGATCTTAAAACCTTGCAAGCTGCCATCTAGATGCAATGATGGGTCTCTCCCCATCCAGAGCAAAGAAGAATGAAGAAAACCAAAAATTCATGGATACAATCAGTCCTAGAGACTGGTACACCATCCAATCTGTAGCCTATATGACTATGAGATCAGAAGAACTAGATGGTGCCTGGCTACCAATGTCAATCACTTGGAAGGGGATCTATGTAGGGGATCCTGGATAGAGAGGGAGAACAATGTGGACAAAACTCAAAATCATTTGGAGAAAAAAAAAAAGGAGGGGACCAGGTTTGCTGGTCCGATAGAGCCTGGTAGAACTACTGAGACTATGGCCCCTAGCCGCCCGTCAGGTCTGGAATTGAACCCACACCTGTGGCTTCCAGCCAAGCAGAAGACAGGCATATGAGTTGAACATTTACCTGAGGTAGATACACCCCATGGAGAGAACAATCATGGGAGAAAGAAGGGCTGCTTATGCACTAGGAGACAGCTCAGGGGGCAGGAGGGCATGGAGGGATGGACACAAGGAAGAGGTAATTATTGGAAGTGGGAGGGGAACTGTTGCATTGTGGTAAATTGTGGTCAATGTCATGAGACAAAGTATATGTGAACTGCTGTACGGAAAGTGAATTTGCTTTGTAAATTTTCACCCAAATCACAATAAATAAATAAAAATAAATAAAAAGCCTCAAAAATATCTGTTATTGCTATGTAGCAGTGTTTCTGAATTGTTCATATTAAACAACTGTTTTTCTCTTTTTCAGACTTTGTGAATTCTGGCTGATGGAAGCCCGGAAACATATCTGTCATCTATCCTTCGTAACTATTATTTTTCCTTTCTTTTCTCCTGTGCCACAATGTCCTCATTTACATACTTGTGCATCATTTTGTTCAATCACAGGTATTTTAATAAGGCAACTTAAATTCCTTTGTAACATCACAGGACACATACGCATATATGAATTAAATTTAAAATGCAAAAGATAACTTAGAGTATGTATTATCCTAGTACCATACTTTCATCTGAAGTAGCTCAACCCCCCACTTCTTGCAGTCTGAAAATTGGGCCTGATCCCCCTAGTTGTTAGCTAATATAACGTCCAATTCTCCACGTGGGATCAATCCTCTACTACTCAGGGACACACAAGGGCACTGAGAACACTAAAGAGTTGTAGAACTGAAACTCTATGATGATTACACACCTTCCTTATTACCCTATGATCAGGTATTTGACATTCATCACCCAGTATATCCACAACTTCCCTGTCACCAGTGTGTACTCATATAATTATCACTGAAGTTAGAACGAGCTTTATCTGTTGTTTACGTATATATATATATATATATATATTTTTTTTTTTTTTTTGGAGAAAATTAAAAGTAATTTTGCCAGAAGGACTTCTGGATAAAGAAGGAAAACATTACAGGATAATTTGCACTCAGGTGCCAGAAGACCTAAGGTCCAGGCAGCAGGTATTCCAAATCCTGGCAGGCCTTCAGTCAGTGTGCTTACAGAGATAGCCTACAGTAAAGGAGCTACTTCTCAGATCTCTGCTGGAAACAGGGGAAACTTTTCAGAGGAAAAGACACTAATCATACACAAAGTCTGAACTGTCCTGTCCTGAATATTCATACTCAAGTGAACCAATAAGCAGGAGGAGGAAGGGAAGTTTTGGGAGGTCCCAAGGAATACATTTGAATTATCCTACACTCATGGCATCTCCTCAAAATGAAGACTCTACTTTCTCACCTTTTTTAGCTACTTCTTCAATTTTGTGGATACAACTGCTTAATTCTTTCTGGAGCCGCTGAACTTCTAATAGGCTTTTCTGTTCACTTATCCTGGGATGTGGCTCAAGTCCTGGATCCCGGGTGGGTGGCGAATTTGGCACGGTAAGGTCTGAGTGTCCTGGATGAGATGGGTACAGGTATACCTTAGCACCTGAGCTGGAAATTTCACCTTTGAACGGCTGGCGGCTGCACTGAAAGACTTCCTGACTTTTTGATTCCTTCCTTTCTACACCATGTCCAGCTATTTTAGGCTTCGTATGCACACATTTCTGAGAGATATGGGGCTGACTCCTGAGATGATGTTCTTTCATATGTTCTTCAAATTGTCTTCGTTTCACATCTCGTTTGGCTAGGTGGACAGCGTAGCTAAGTCTCTCTTCTGATATGACGGAAAAGGAAACAGAACTGCTCAGGTCAGGCCCATCTCTAAAACCCGAGTCTTTACAATGGTATGATTCATGGTATGAGTGCTTCAGTTTCTCAATTGTAATTGCATGTGGACAGGTATATCTGATCGCCAAGTTGCTTGGATCTGTAGGAACATTCCTATTAAACTGCAGTTGGTTCTTTATAAAACAAATAAAACATATACACACATTAGACATATGACATGTTGTATAGCTAGTATAAGTCTATAATCAAGTTTCTAAATTTTTACCCACAAGATTACTAGTGCTAGAAATTTTTCTGTTGTACTGATAGAATCATACTGACAGCATCACACACCCCTGGGTCTATTCCATAGTCACATAGTCCCACAGTATTACTCTTCTGTTTACTATTATCATACTGCGATCTTCCTCTAAAAGTCTACCCAAAAAGCTTCAAGCAGCAACCAGTATTTATCCCCAGTCATGTACTTCTGTGCTGTTTCAAAATATCAGACTCTAGAAAGTAACCAATCCGTTTGAGGAAACTGCCCCACAGTCGGGCCATATAGCCACACCAGACTTAAGCCATTTCACTATACCTCTTCAGGTGGTCCTGTGCTTTTTCACCTAATGGCTGGACTACATCTTTTATCCTGCACCGAAGTGCATCTTGAGGAGCTCTAGTAGCATAGTGCCTAAGGCACTTGACTGCTAACCAGAAGGGTGGCAGTTCAAACCCACCAGCCACTCCTCTGAAGGAAAGTTGGGCAATCTACTTCCGTAGTGATACTGCCTCGACAACCAAAGGAGGGGTCGCTATGAGTTGATCTGACTTGATGGCACACATCAACAACAACAACAACAAGTGCATCTTACTCTGAACGTTTCCTCTTAATGTGTTATTTGTGCCGGCTTAAGTTTTAGTCACTTCAAGTTAGAGTAGATACAAGTTTTGTTTTTTTATTTAAAAAACACAGGCGTATTTTCCATATCCCTACAGTTTTTATTATTTTTCATGATTTCATTCTAAAATCCAGTGAATGGCTTTTTCACACTTCATCTAACCATAACCCTATTATCAAACATTTGGATTGTTCCATATTTTCCACTAATAAAACTGTTGTTTTGATTAGTATATCCATGCATTTATTTTATTTCTTTTTAAATTATTTCCTTAGGATAAACTGCCTGTCCTGGGATTATTAGGTCAAAGGGAACAAACGATGTTATGGCTTTAAATATGTGAACTTCTGAATGGACCTCTTAAGAGCAGGTTAACAAGAGGATCTATGCCTACCAATTTAACACACTCTGTGCTATGAGGCCTTTATCTTAAAGATGCTCTTCCATCCTTCTGTCATGATTAAATAAGTGTGTGTGTATGTATAAATATATATAAAATCATATGTATGAAACTCAGTTGAAAAAAAAATTGTGATAAAACTGTAAGAAAGTATTTTGAGGGGGAACAAAAAGAAGAGTAATGAAAAACCTTGCTAGAGAAAGAGGATCGCCATCTGAAAAGTACACAAAGAGTACTTGAAACTTGCACGCCTATTAGGAAAGGTCTTTTCCCCAAAGAGTAAAAATAAAGCTAAAATACCCGGGAAATTTGATATCAATTCAAGAAAAAAAACTGAGGGGAGGGCAGTGAATTTTTCTTTACCTGGGTGTGTGGGGGGGAAGGCTTTCTAACCATGACTAAAAATCCAGATGTGACACAAGAAAAGACTGATAAATTGACCACATAAAAATGAAAAACAAGCAGTAAGACAGAAGAATAGACAGACAAGCTACACAGACCCTCTTCAACACAGAAAAGAGAAACCAAATGACAGAGATACAAAAGATAATTCTGTAACCCTGAGCTTTGAAAGGAGGTACACAGAAGTGGACTAGGCACCAACTAGTGAAAAAACCTGAACGAAAACAGTGAGTACAGAGACAGTCGGAGCTGTGGACTGTCAGCTGCTCTGATGAAACCAACAGCCTGAAGATATTGGTTGCTGGTGTTGGGTCCTGATGACTGACCTAAAGATCAGCCCTGGTCACCAAAGGCTGCAGGGACGACTGCACTGGTGGCCTATGACTACCAAGGGAAAGAGCAAGGAGGGAGATAACCTGAGCTGTGGACTTCCGACAGTATGGAGGGTGCAGCCATTTTGACTGTTTATAAGCAGTGATCATTTTAATATTTAAACTGACTGAGGACACAGCCATTTTGAGTGTTTACAAGTGGTGGCCATTTTGAATATTTAAAGTGACTGGGGGTGCAGCCATTTTGAATGTTTACAAGGGGCGGCCATTTCAGATTTTAAAGTGATAGCATTCTCATCTAGATTTCAAGGACCTAAGAACAGGTCCCATTTGCCAAGGATGGTAGGGACATACGGGAGGCTGACAACGAGAAAGGAGACAGGTGGTGATTGTATAAGTGCTGCCAACCAGTGAATAGAGGAGCACAGCATAGTACCCTGCTTACACAGATAACACACAAACAAAACAAAACGAAAATTGTGTGCAAGTTACTCCAACATACACTCACCAATCAAATATAAACACAAAAACGTCACAATGTCTCGGAGAAAACAGAGCATAGCATCACAGAGCACACAAAGAAGCAAGATAAAGCAGGAGAAACAAGGGACCAGGATACAGACCCAAAACACATCCCTGAGCAAGTCGCAGCTCTGGAACTCCCTGATAAGGAATTATAAAGAATTATATTTAGGTGCCTTTAATAAATTGAGAGACTGATCAAGGAAAACACTGACAGAAATGAGGAAAACACAAAGAAGACTCTAGAACTATTTCAAAAGACAATACAAGAACAAAATGACAAAATAAATGAAAATTACAAGTGATAAAAAATCTACACGGAAATCCAGAAGATTAATACTAAATTTTCAGAAATAGATAATACATTGAATGGGAAAAGGAGTAGAATTGAATCAATGGAAGACAGAATTAGTGAAATTGAAGACAAATACCTCAATACTTCTTTGGAAAGGGATTAATCAGAAAAAAGATAAAACAAAATGAAGAAAGCCTAAGGTCTATGTGGGATATCATCAAAAGGAATAACCTGTGTCATTGGAATTCCAGAATAGGAAGAGACAAATAAACCCACAGAAAAAATTGTCAAAGATTTCTTGGACGACAACTTTCCTGGTATGATGAAAGATGAGAATATATCCATTCAAGAAGTCCAATGAACCCCAAACAGGTTAGACCCCAAAAGAAAATCACGACGATATGTCATCATCAAACTCACTAAAACCAAAGACAAAGAAAGAATCCTAAAAGCAGCATGGGGAAAACGAAAAGTTACCTACAAGGGGCAACCAATAAGACTAAGCTGATTTCTCAGCAGAAACCATGCAGGTGGGAAGACAATGGGATGGTATATATAAAACCCTGAAAGAGAAAAATTTCCAACCAAGAATTAACCCAGCAAAGATGTCCCTCAAATATGATGGTGGAATTAAGACTTTTCTAGATAAGCTGAAATTAAGGGAATTCGTTAAAACCAGACCAACCTTACAAGAGATGGTAAAGGGAGTCTTTTTGACAGCAAACCGACAACAGCAAACAATAACTGATCATTAACACATGATGACATAACCCACAAACCAACCCAGTTATAGAAGTATCCAAAGTAAACAAGCCTACAACATTGTAAACAGGGAACCAGAGACATCAATTGACAAATGAGGACAACTACAAACCAAAAAGAGGGATAAAAAACTGTGTAGTTACAGAACTTCTAAATGGTAGGGAAGTCAAGACAACTATAAGATAGAATGGACTGTTTCAAACTTGGGAAGAAAACTGTAAATTACAGGGTAACCTCAAAGAAAAATGACAAATCTTCATATCAAAATGAAAAAGAGGACCAGCCCAAATATTTAGCAAATACTAAAACAAAAGCAACAAAGGAAGTGATAACACGATTCATAAACAAAACAAGCTCAGCATAGAAAACTATATGGAACGAAGAAATCAACACCACGAGAAAGCATGTAACAAAATGATGACAACAAATTACAAGAGCAAAAAGATGGAAACAATCTATGTGCCCATCAACAGCACAATGGGTAACCAAACTATGGTACATAGATACAATGGAATACTATGCAACACTGAAGAATAATGTAGAGTTAGCAGAACATCACATAACATGGACGAACCTGGAGGACATTATGCTGCGTGAAATAAGTCAATCACGGAAGGACAAATAAAGTATTAGTTTGTTGTTATGGAGAGTCAAGGAAAGGTTTACATATGGAAGGAAACTTTCTTTGTTGGTTGGTCCCAGGGATGGGAGGGGAGAAGAGGAGAGGAGAGGGAACACTGGGGGAAAAAAAAAAAAGAATGCATTGACTCATGGGGGGGGAGGATGAAAAACAAACAGACAAAAAATGAAAAACCACAGCCAAAAGAAGGACTGACAAACTGGGAGAAAATATTTACAACAGAAATCTAATATGAAGGCCTAATACCTTTATATGTACAGACACATTAAGGTTTAAGGTGAAATTTTACAGGAATTAATTAGGCTGGGAGAGCGGAATCATACCCACCCTCTTTCTCAATCAGCCTCAGAGCTAAGGCACTGCGTGCCCCCCCGAAATGGATGAAGCCTGAGTGCCGGCCCAAGGACTGCAGGGGCATCCTATATTCAATACTAACTTTTCTCATACTCTTGCCAGAGTCAAGACTTCATAGGTCCATTTCTGCCTGCTCTGCCTGAAAGAACGGAGTTGTTTGAGTCGGGCCTGCTCCAGGGACACTGCTATCCTTGGATGGAGGAAACTCCTTTCCAGGGGGCTGACCTTACAGTTCCCACAGGGTGAGAGGGGCTGCTCAAACATTTGTGTGGAGTTCATGTCTCCAACTTACTACGTTATTCCCTTCATCTGCACAAAAAAGTGAGAGAGAGAGAAAAAAAAAAAAAAAAGGAAAGGAAAAAAAATAACCCAACAGAAAAACGACAAAAACTGTGAATTTCCAAAAAATATTTAAACATGGCCTTTAAACATATGAATAGGTGCTCAATATCATAAAGAAAATACAAATTAAAACTACACTGAAATGTCATCCACAGCCTATGGGATTAGCAAAAAAAGAAAAACTACAGCAACATATTCTGTTGGTGAAGAGCTCTGGTGATGTAGTGAGTGAGGCATCTGGCT